TCAACTTAATACCAAGAGGTAAACCACCTTGAATTATACTGTATAAGCATGTGGAATTTCAGATTTTATACTTCAGAAACTTCTCATTTTTATATCAGAACGACAACAAGTCCAAAAATGAGTAGAGATTACCATGATACTTTTTACTAATTAGTTCAAAATTTAATTCATTTTCAGGTCCACACATTTTTACAATTTTTGCATGCAACTTTGATTTGGAGCTTCAAATGAACTTCAAATTAACTTTTTCATATGAAAAAGACTTTGATTCTTAAATCCTGGAAGTTTCAAGTCACTGTGATCATTGGAACTATTTTAGACTCGATTTTCGATAAGTGATTTTTGCAAATTTTTTTTTTGCATGCATTAACGTAAAAAAAAAGAGCTTCCAAATTTAATTTGAAGCTTCAAATCAACTTCAAACTAACTTTTCCACAAAGAGGAAACTTCAATTCAGAAATCTTGAAAGTTTCAAGTCACTGTGATCATTAGAAGTGCTTTGCACAAGCGATTTTTGCAGATTTCAATAATTTTTAATTCATTAACGAGAGAAAGGGCTTCTAAATTTGATTTGGAACTTCAAATTAACTTTTCCACAAAGAGCAAACTTCATCAATTTATAGATCCTGAAAGTTTCAAGTTATTGAAACAAAGAAACCATACAAATCCATACAGAGTTCCTAAAAAAACATAAATGCATAGAAAAAAATACAATGTGTCTAAAATAGGATGTAATAATACCAATAACACAGATTCCAATAATGGCCGATGGCCGCTCCACACATTAAACCCGAACTTGCAACCTTTGCTGAGCTCTCAATTCTGAATTTTCTATTGACCAGAAGTAGACATTGTGAATTGTGATGATGGAATACTCCACAATTACTAAATCTAGTCTTATTGGACCATACAACATAATTTGGAAAAGCTGGATCTGCATTACATTAATTAATGTACCAGCTACAAAACTTGAGCATCCATCCTCCTTAGATAGTCATCTCCTAGAAGGCCCTGCACTATAGTTGGTTTATACAGGTGATACATATTTATGATGCTTCAAGCAGTTCAAACTTTATGAATAGTTAACTTAGAAATGTGAAGTCCTGGGTGGAAGATTAGAGATTTTCATTAAAATTTTGTTCAATAGCAGCATCACACCTGAAGTGCAGTTCAATATGGTTTGGTTCCAACAAAACGGTTGCCCCGCTCATAATACCAAAGAAATTCAGGAATTTTTGCATGATACATTTAGAGGGAGATTGCTAATCGCGGTTCAGTTCCTTGAACAACTTGGCCTTCTGACATAACTATTAACTCTATTAGATTTTTATTGTTTTCATTTGTATTTATAAATTAATTCATTTACTTCTTTATATTAAATATCCTGTAATGCAATGTTGCCAAAATTAATTATTTTGGTCAAGTGTATTATATCATTGATTTTGTATTTTTTCACTCTTTTTTATGGTATTAAAATCCAATATGGCGGCTATAAGAAATAATGAAATTGATTATTGTTCCAATGGTTCCAGAAAACTGAAACATACAAAAAAAAAATTTAATCGCACATGCGTATTCTGCACAAAGAGTTGCTTTGAAAGTGTGTTTGCAGATTTGAAAAGATTTACAGCCTATTTTGAAAAAACCAACTTTATAGTTTTTTCTGAAGATCTCAAAAGTATGAATAGCTAGACTCAATCTGCAAACGCTATTAAACATCTAACATAATTGTCTAAATTTTTCCCAAGTCACCTCCCTTGTATCTGTTATAGTTTCCTATATATCCTAATATATTCACCCCCAATTTGGGACACACTGTATAGGCAGGTATGTTGTCTACACTTTATTTTTTCCCAAGATAGATTTTGACGTTGAAAACTTTGAAACATAAACAATAACGCTTGACCCTGATTGGTCACAAAATGAGGTGTTTCTGCAGGTTGACATCAGTTTTACTTTATTTTGAGGAATATTGAAATGAAATAATCATTCTTTTGAAGGTTATTAGGTCTGTTCTCACAGAAATCACAAATCAGTCAGAGCCTTTTTGATTGGTGCAAATCGCCAACAAACAGTTTTCTGACTATTTTCAACCAATGGAATTTGCTTTGACTAGTTTGTGATTTCTGTGAGAACAGACCTCAAATTTGATAATTTTTGCAAGATTTTTTTTTTTGTTAGCAGTGAGTGGATAAATATTGAAATTTTCAAATTGTATACCTTAAGTAAACGCAAATAACCAAGCGGTTTAATAATAAATTAATAGTTGGTTCTAGAAGCCAAAGTCTGTGAATACATTTTATTCTGTATTTTTTGATCGGCTTTAATAGCTTCCGAGTTATTTGCAGATCCACTCCGTATCAAAACCAGATATTGAATTTTTGAATGAAATAATGCATAGTAATTTTTTCTTCAAATATTTCAAGGGAATGTATGTTTTTGAATTTATATAATGCATTGATGAAAGGAGATAAACTTTGTAACATGTTTTTGTTCTTCCAATGTTAAATTTTCATCTATCTAAAATGAACTTTTTTTTGCCTTGTATATCCGGTGCTATTCCGAGTTCAAAAAATTTGATGATAGACTATTTGTAGGCTTTTGATTGTGCAACTTTTTCTCTATTTGGTCCACCCTGTATCTTTAATGGTTTCCAAAATCCCCATGTGCTTCAAGTTATTCCGGACACCCTGTATGCACATTATTGTTCTGAAATTTTGTTGGATTTTTTTTGCTAAACTGAAGTTTTTATTTCATGGAAAAATGGTGAAATTTTCTTTCCACACCTTCAAAGAACTGTACCTAATCCACAGATAAAATTTGCAGGATCTGTAGCCTGCAGCCCTTTTCTTACTACAACTACATTCTCAGGAAAAATTCATAGATACAGACTCGGATATAGATAATGATTTAACCGAGGGGCGGCTCACTCACAACAATTTGTGCATCGATTTCCGAACTCGCAGGGGATTTCAACAATTTTTAAGGGATTTCGAAAGGTTTTGGATTTTCGACACCATACTACTACGAATTTCGATAAATCTATTGGAATTTCGAAAGAATTCCAATAAATTTCGGGATTCACAAATCGCAATAAATCACTAATAATCTAGTTAAATCAGGATAAATCTCTAAAAATCAAGAAAAATCATCTATAAATCAATGTAGTGAATATTAACCTCATTTAAAAATCGTCTAGTTTCCACCACAAACTACAATCCCACGCAAGTTGGGGCATCGTCAAAGTGATAGACAGTCAAATAGTTTTAGCGTTCCACAAGGCTCTGTCCTTGGATCATTTCTTTATGTACTTGTACCAAGACTTGTACTGTATGTTCTTAGTTTACAATTGGCAAATTTGTAGTATATAGGTATAGCTGGATAAAACTAAGTATGTGATTAAATATTAAAATTTATAATATACTTAAATATAGAAAGTGTAAAATCAATTGGGTAAATATTTGGGATACATAGTGTATAAGGGTTTAAATTCTATGGAACATCTTAAACACATATCACATAAAATAACTCCTAAGATAGGTGGTCTTTATCGTTGTAGAAATAACGACATAAGAAACACATAAGAGTAAAATGAATGTGTATCACGCATTCTTTTTGTTTAATTTCAGATACATGATCCCAAATGGAGCACTTGTGGTACTTGGTTGGGTTTAGAGATCTATGCAAACGTTACAAAATCAAATATTGAAGATTCTTTTTTCATTTGAGTAGTTAACACTATAACAACCAACGATAAGGTATATGGAGCTTGATTTATGAATGTATTAAAATATTGTACCTAACTCAATTCTTTTAGAATGTTACCTTATTTAAACATTTCAGGAAAAATAGTCAAATAATACATAATAAATCAATTCTTAGATTCGTAAGTGAAAATTAAAAAAAAAAACTTTTCTTCAATGCCAAAGATCTAAAAACACAAAAACTCAATAGTAATTTTCAATAATCCGAGTTTTTGCCAACCTTGGTAGGTATTCTAAGACCTCTGCTTTTTGTATTACAGAAAAACTCGTACTACATGTCATTTATACAAAGGAATTTCAATTAAAAGGATGTAAAATGCAAAATTTTGCTAACAGTAGCTTAATTTTTATTTCAGATTTCAGGCAATTCCTCAGGCAAATCATAATTATATTCTGATTGTGTAGCAGCTTCAAATTTTGAATTACAAATAATTTTTAATTGGCTAAATGCTCAACTTTAATGTGAAAAAATTAAAATTGAATACCTACCTACGTCAAAAACCAAATTATAATTAATTATAAATGTGAAACAGATTTGAACATTTTTATAAATTTAGACCAATTGGAATTTGTTAACTAATTTATATATTTAAGTATTCCAGTAGGATACCATAGGATTCCACCAATAAGATATCGTGGGATTCTGTTAAAATTGGGATTTTGGTGTATACATTTTTCAAGGTGGTTCACCCCTCATACTGAAATTTCAAACTGATTCAGTAAAACAGGAAAATTTCTTTAAAATACATTCACTTTGGTAAACTTTTTCAAAATATGTATGATGAAAAATCAACAACTTTCAATTTCAGATAAAAATTAGATTTTCAAAGTAAAACATTTCCTTATCATTTTTCAAGTGATTCAATCCCGCTTTTATTATTAAATTTTATGCATTTTCATTAAAATTACTGGTACAAGCAATAATCATTAATACTGAAACCAGGTTATCGCATCAAACTAGCCATAAAATATTGATTTCAAGGAAAATTTAGGTAAATTATGAACATTTTACTCATGCAATTAAAAAACAATATAGCAAGAAATCTTTATTTTATTTAGGCATTAAAATTTACAATAATTAAATTAAATTACCAGAAAACATAAAAGATTTAGAAAAAAAAATTGTATAAATTCAATATTTCAAATCTAATTTTGCCTAAAAATTCCAATAAACTTCTCAGTACTTGAAAAATGTATACATAAAAAGTCCCTCATCATAATCATTCTTTCTTCCAGAGCCCTCCAGTACTGCCTTGAAGAAAAAGTCAACATCCTCAGCGACAACGACTGGATCGTCCACTTGGACGAAGAAACTCTACTCACCGAAAACTCGGTACGAGGAATCCTAAATTTCGTAATGGACGGCAAACATCACATCGGACAAGGCTTGATCACCTATGCCAACGAAGAAGTAGTCAATTGGATCACTACATTGGCCGACAGTTTTCGAGTTTCTGACGATATGGGCAAATTACGGTATCAATTCTACATGTTCCACAAGCCCTTGTTCAGTTTTAAGGGCTCGTTTGTTGTCACACAGGTAAGAATTTACTTATTATCTAGTAGACATAAAAATACAAATGAACTTGTTTAGGAAACATGATATTTTAAGTACCAAGATAAAAAGATAAACGCACCTTTTCAGTATTCAAGTACTTCCTTTGAGAGGTCATTGATAAGGAAACAATAGTTTTGCAAAAATGTCTGTAATCATTACATTATCATTTACTAAAATAATGAACTTTGCCTCATTAGTGTAATATGATTCATGCTTTTAATACTAATTGCGATAATAAGCCTCTCATTTCTCGTCATCAATGAATGACTAAAAGTTAATTATTTGATATCAATTTTCAATAAACTGATTGAAAAATGTATAATGTACTCCTATGTTTTACTATTCGTAAAAAAAACTACATAGTTATTTTTTTCGTTCAAGGATAGGATAATTTTGTGCTGTTTTTGCATGCAGAGTCTATGTCTCGGGCAATTAATTTTTTTAAAAATACTATCGTCAACAGTATCAGACAAATTACGTACACATGCAGGTTCGTGTTATTTATGTGTGCCAGCGTGATAATGATAATGTGAAAAAAATTGTTTGAAAGAGAGCCAAAAATATAGGCATTTTGTTAAATAGGATCAAATAATAAATATTTATTATTTATTATCAGTAATCCAGTAGGTCAGTGTCTTCTTGTTTTTAAAAATCATCACAGGAGTTTAATATTTTCTAAGGTCTGAGAATCCTAAATATGTACTTAAATGGAAAAATGTCATTTTCATTATTCAAAAGAATGTTTTGAAAAAGATAATTTTAATTAAAAAAGGAGATAAAAATTTGAACAAGTGAGTCAGAGGAAATGTTGGAAGATTAAACAACAATTTAAGTTTGATATTTAAATAATTATTGCTACTTTTGGGTTTTTCTAATATTATTCTTTGTTAAGTGAAATTTGAAGTATTTGTCTTATTTTGCAAATATTTTTGTTTTTATAGTGTTTTCGTTAATTTTTTCAAAGTAATTTTGATCTAGAGGTTTGCTTGTTGATTTTTTTATCATTTTCTCCTTCTCATTTCTTTTTTAGATTATGCAAGTTGATTTTCATTAATTTCCCATTTTGTTATTTTTCACTGGAAAAGTTTGAATTTTTAGTATGATGAGCTCCTAAATTTCCTCTTTTACCCAAGAAAGTTTCATAATTTTTCCTTCAATATTTTTCCAGGAAAAAATTAAAATGTAAGAGGGTGCATTTTTGCCTAATTTAGATTTTGTATGTTCAAATTCAAAAAAAGCTGTATTGTCCAAAATAAGTATTTACTGACAAAACCAAGTCTTACCATCTAATTAATAAAATAGTCTCATCAAAATGATATAATAAACAAAATATGAAAATTTTTGGATTAATTTTCTCTGCTATTCTATCCATAGACGCGTTTCAATCTATCAGCTCTCGTCAGTATGGTTAGGAAAGCAAAGAAAACCATAATAAAATAATAAACAAAATACATACAATATTTTGAACATCTGACATTTTTCCCACTATGGAAACAGTCTGAGTTCTTTCCAACAGATAGGTCCTAAACCAGTTAAGGGCAACACCTCGAAACCCGTAAACTTCTAGCTTTTGTAGTAGAATACCGTGACTGACACAATTTAAAAGCCTTGGTCAGGTCGCAGAAGACTGCACCAGTAATGTCCCCGTTATTGAGGGTCACATATAGTTTCTCTAAGAAAGAAAAAAGTGCTTCAGTTGTGTTTTTTTCATTTTGAAAGCCAAACTGTTGCGAATTTTAGATCCTATTTTTCAATAAAAAAGACATACTTAACTCTCTTTTTTACAAGTTTCTCTATAATTTTTGACAAAGTGGGAAGCAAGGAAATTGGTCTACAATTTGAAAGACTGAAGTCATTTCCTCCTTTGTGCAATAGCATGATAACAGCCCTTTTAAGGAAACATGGAAATTGTCCATTAATAAATAAATAGTTCATTGCATCTACTAAAGACTCCTGTGCTCATCCACTCATCTCACAATTTTTTTTTATCGAAATGTCCCACCCTGAGGCATTTTTGTTTTTAATCTCTGAAAATATGTTTTTTAATTTCCTAATATCTGTTGGATACATAAAAAAGATTATATATGATCTAGTGAGATATGTTAGGGGATTTACACTAGAGGTAATTTTCAAAGCCGATGGAACAGCAAAAATCATTAAGTTCATTGGGATCATGGTGTAAGCCCTTGTCATTACTATTATCTGACTGTCTAAGGTGGTTAACAATCAACTATGCTTTCTTTGACTTGTTTCTCGATTTTCTATACGTTGACTATAGTGTAGCCTCTTTGCTGACCTCACCACCCTCCGATAGACAGCCCTATACCTGTTAAAATAAGAGACAAAACACAGACTGTCCACGAAAAACTTTCTAATGTAATGAAGTGCTCGCATATTTTGCGCAGATACTGTAATTGATTTAGTCAACCAGGCTTTTTTGGTTTTATTTTTTATAACACCAATGGGAAAGGCTTTGTTAAAAATATTTGACAATGCATAATGGAACTGCTGTAGAGGATTATCACAGGTAGAGAAATTCCAGTCAACTTGGTTACTTTGCTCGCGAAATTTTCTAAAGTTTTTTTACAGTATAGTCTTCCCTTCCTTGAGACAGAATTTGGTGTTTTAAGGTTAAATTTGAATTTTGATACGACAGCTTCATAATCTGAAATTCCAGAATGCCTGACACTGCAAGAAATACACGATATATTCGAACAAATATAATTCAAAGTTGTTGAGGTATGCTTGGTTAATCTAGTAGGCTCTGTGACATGCATTTTAAGATTAAAACAGGACAGCAAATTAATAACACAACCACTGGAAGCTCCATTAAACTTAACATTCAAATCTCCAGTAAGGATAACTGAACAATCAACAGGAACAACGAGGTCAAACAGGAAAATCGAGACTTTCAAGGAGAATATACAACTCATCCGCTTTATTTCTAAGTGACTGTGTGTTTATAAGAATCACAGTAAAAAAAGTATTTTTTAATCTAAAAAAACATTCTCATTAATATGGTTACACTGGTTGTCAGATTCAGCCATACTACTAATATCTGTACGTGTGATACCTTAAAAAAACAACAGTTGGTTCTCCATGATCAGTGTAAGGTGCTAACACTTCACTCAATTCTTTATACCTATAAGCTTTTATTGTTTATTAAAGTAATCCCATTTTCTGCGCTTGATGCAGCACTGCTCGAAAAATCTGATGCCTGGAGCTTATGTGGGTCTACGTCTATAATGTCTTGTGACTCTATTTTGCTATTTATATAAATTAAAATCTTATGTACTACATATTTTTTACCTCATATAGTTTGGAATATATTCCTCGCTAGCATCCCTAACTCTCTACGCCCATTGTAAACATGACTGGTTTATAGATGAGTAACTATTTTCTTAGATAATCTATTTTTATCTGTTTAAGAAAATCGCCAAACTTAGTATTTATTTAGAGTTCTATTTAATTTTTGATCATGTTTAAGGTAGGGTGTACTTTAAAATGGTCCATATATTCTTAATTTTAGATACTTTACCCTGTAAAAAATCAATTATTCCTCCTAGAGATTGAAGTTTACTGGTAATTTTCATTTGTTCTTTCTCAGTGGTAACTTACCAGTAATTTTTCGGTTATTTTGGTAATTTTGGAAATATTTCATGAAACAAACAATTATGTAAGTATATTGTCATAATTGTTTGTTACCTATACGTTCAAGGATTATAGATTTTCAGGATTTTTTACCTAAACAACCATTTATTTAAGTTTGTTGTAAAATCTAACCTCATAGAAATATTACAATAATTAATCAAATAATAATACCTTATTCCTAGAACAAAAAACGAGCAAAGAAAATCAAACAAAAATAAAATATAAATAAATTCTCCTAATCTGGTGCTAAACTGTATAGTAAAGTATAAATACCTAGGTACTTTTAAAGGGTAAAAAGAAAACAAATAAATAAAATAAGCTAAATAAGTATAGCATAAAAGATAACTCTGTCAAGAAAATTGATTATTTTAAGCGCACAGGGTTGGCAAAAGTCTGGGTTTTTGAAAATTTCTATTTGGTTTTTGGGTTTTTGCGAGAGTTGTGCTACTTGTGCTTGTTGTAGGGTTTCTGTGTTTTAAGATCTTTGACTCTTTGAAATTCCAAATAATCTCAAACTCAGGACTCAACAAAAATCCACCGCGTTTTTGAAATAAGTTTTTCCTACGAGCACAATGTTTTAAATCAAAATATAGGTACATATTACATAATATTTTCTACTTCAAATCAAATTACTATTCGCCAGGCTGTCAAGAATCTCTCGGCATTCCCTCTTGAGTATCCTAGAATCTAGCGAATTATTCTACCTAATTCGAGAAAATAGGATTATCGTGTGTATTCTAGATTTTACAGGAATAGATTTTGGGATATATAAAGGCGGCTATTGCTTTGCAGTTTTTAGTTTCAGTTAATTCAGTTTGACTGTGATACGATTTAAATAGTGATTTGTTGTAAAGAGTTTAATTGTTAAAGTAATTAGCGAGGGGGAAACCACCTACCTAATTTTGTACACCAAAAATTCTAAAATTCTGAAAAATGCTAATTTTCATGTTATTATTGTCCCAAAAAATTCTAAAAATTCTACAAAATTCTAAAAAATCCCAACAAATTGGGCAGGCTCTTGAGATATACAGGGTGTATATTTTAAGTGATACCATTATTGCTATATCCGAAACGGTAAGAGCTACAAGGTCGGTTAAATTAGGAAAAAGTTGCCTTTTTCGATGCCCATCTGAGACTCGTTTACAGTATTGTCAAATTCTTTTTGGTTTATGAAATACAGGGTGATTTCTAAGAAACGCCCAAAACTATTTCATCAATTATTTTGATAAATATTGATTTTCGAGACACAATTTAAATTTGAAAGTTTTTTAATTTTTCTCGCTCTACAACATGGTGTCATCAAATTTCAAATCCGATGTTTCGTAATCGAG